GCAGTTCCTACTATCTATGAAATAGAGGCACCTGTTACAATTTGATTCTTCGTGAGTCAGGCAACTCAAGACTGAGCATCATTGAGACTCTGTGGGCCGTCAACAGCAGCAGATTCATACCCCAACACAATCTGCAACTGCATGGCCTGGCATATCGCCCACTCAATTATTACCATCAAGCCAGGGGATCAAACCTAGCTCAATGGATAGTGCAGGAGGGCGTGTCAGGCACAGCACCAGGCATACTTGAAGATGTGGTGTCATCCTGGTCAAGCTACAAAGCAGGACTACTTGCATGCCAAACAGCATAAGCAGCAAGTGATCAACAGAGCTAAGTGATCCCACAGCCAACAGATCAGATCTAAGCTCTGCAGTGCTGCCACATCTAGTCATGAATGATCGCACACAATTGAACTACTCACCGGAGGTGGAGACCTACACAAATAACCATATCCTCATGTTGGAAGAACCCAGCATATCAGTGGCAACGATAAGGCTGAAGCATTTGCAGCAATCTTCAGCCAGAAGTGCCGATTGGATGATCCATCTCAGCCTCTTTCAAAGGTTCCCAGCATCGCAGATGCCAGTCTTCAGCCAATTTGATTTAATGTCAAGAAATGGTTGGAGTTACTGCAAAGACTATAGGACCTGACAACATTCTGGCAATAGTACTGAAAACCTGTGCTCTAGAACTTGCTGATCCCCTAGCTAAGCTGCTTCAATACAGTAACAAGATTGGCATTTACCCAGCAATGTGGAACATTGGAGATAACAAGGTGTAGAGATGGATGAACACAGCAGGCCAAGCAGCATCAGAGGAGCAGGAAGGCTGATGTTTCAGATTCTCCAGCATCTGCAGTTCCTACTATCTCTGATACAATGTGGAAAATTGCCCAGGTATATCCTGTACATATAAAGCAGGACAAATCTGACCCAGCTAATTACCGTCCCAACAGTCTACTCTCGATCATCAGTAAAGTAATGGATTCGATGGGGTGTGGCATCAAGGAGCCCTAGCAAAACTGAAGTCAATGAGAATCAGGGTAAATAACCCTCCCCTGGTTGAATCATACCCGGCACATAGGAAGATGGTTATGATTGTTGGAGGTTAACCATCTCAGTTCCAGGATATCTCTGCAGGAAGAATTTGTCAGGGTAGTGAGTTCCTCAATAAGGCAAGCAAGAGTTGAGGGGAGAAAGGAGTTAAAGATGATCAGATTAGACATTATCTCAGATAAATGACAGAGCAGACTCGATGGAGCTAAGTGGCCTCCTACTTTTGCTCTGATAGTTTTTATACTTTTGACAGTGGTGAGATTTTGAAAATAGGATTAGAATAGTTAGATGCTTTATAACCAGCACAGACATGATGGATTGAAGGGCCTTTATCTGTGCTGTAGACCTCTGTGGCAGGAGAGTGGGTACGTATGTCTGTGTGTGTGTGTGTGTGTGTGTGTGTGTGATTACAATAAAACAGAACTGCAGATGCTGGAAATCAGAAAGAAAAACAGAAGTTCTTGGAGAAAACAATCGGATCTGGCAGCATCTGTGGAGAGTAAGCAGAGTTAATGCTTCAGGTCCAGCGACTCTGCTGAAGACAGATGGGGGAAGCGGGGCAGGGTGTGGGTAAAGAATACAGAGGAAAGTGTCAAGGTTCTAAAATTTTAGAAATTATGCCAGGATTTAACAATCCAAACATTTTCAGAACACAAACATCTTCCTTTCCATGCTTTACCATCCCTTCACCCGCCCCTCACCCCACACCCAGGCCATGACACGACAGGAGCTGTTTCCTGCACAGCCAACCCATTTTCACCTACCTATGGTGCCCATTACCAGCTTTTCTTTCTCCCTGGTTTACTAATAACCATCCCTTTGTCTGTTTGCCTAACTTACTTTCTCTGTCTGGTTTCCATCTCCATCTATCCTTGTCACCTTTATCCACCCCTCAAACCACCACCCAATCCACTACCAGCAAGGCAATGGCCGAGTGGTATTTTCATTAGACTATTAATCCAGAGATCCCAGTTATGATCTGAGGACTTGGGTTCAAATCCATGGCAAATAGTGGAATTTGGATTCAATTTAAAAAAGAACTAGAAGTAAGAGTCTAATGATGACGATTATCAATTGTCATAAAAACACATCTGGTTCACTAATGCCCTGGAGGGAAGGAGATCTGCCATCTTTACCTGATCTGGCCTACATGTAACTCCAGACCCACAGCAATGTGGTGGACTTTTAACTACCCTCTGGGCAATTAGGGATGGGCAATAAATGCTGGCTAGCCAGTGACATCCACATCCCATGAACATGAAAAAAAGTCTTCAGCTCATAAACAAAAAAACCAAAGAGCTGTGGCTGCTGTAAATCAGAAAGAGAAACAGAAATTGCCGGAGAAATTCAGCAAGTCTGGAAACATCTGCGGAGATAAGGCAGAGTTAAAGACTTGCATCCAGTGACCCTTCTTCAGCAATATACACCACCTTTTCCCAGTTACTAACAACTGTGAAGAAGAGTCCCCGGGCTAGAAATGTTAACTCTTTTGCGTTATTGCTTTTGGGAGATGGCAAGAACTGCAGATGCTGGAGGCAGAGTCAATACAGTGCGGAGCTGGAGGAACACAGCAGGCCAGGCAGCATCAGGGGGAGCAGGGAAGTCGATGGGACCCTTCATCAGAGGGTCCCAACCCGAAACATTGACACTCCGGCTCCTCTGATGCTGCCTGACCTGACTCTGCTTTTTTGTTTTGCTTTCTACACAGATTGCTGCTGAGTTTTTCCAGAAAGTCTCTGTGCACTTAATGAAAAAAAAAAATGGCACAGGGTGCTGCCTGACCTCCAGCATTTTTGCTGTTCTCAGTACAGATTCCAGCATCCCCAGTAATTTACTACTCTCTGGTGGTGGTGGTGTTGGTGTTGAGGGACTACAGCTCCCGGCATGCCCGGCGGGGACTACAGCTCCCGGCATGCCGCGGTGGGGTGGGGCTGGCTCCGCCCCCGCGGGGTAGCGGCGGCCATTTTGTGAGGGACGGGACGAGTCGAGGCCGCTCACTGTCGACAGGGAGGAGAAAGAAAAATAAACTGCAGCCGCCGCGCCGCAGAACAAAACAAAAAAAAAACCCACTGAAATCCTAGTCAGCAGCCGCTCTCGCCTCCTCAAAGCGACCAGCTTTTCGTTCCCGACGAGTCTTTCTACTAATATCGCATGTCCACTATCCAGAACCTCCAATCTTTTGGTGAGTTTTTTTTTTGGTCGTTTTTCCTTTTCCCCTCCCGCCCTTTCCCTCCTCGACCTCTCTCATTCGGATTCGGACCTTTCCTCCCGTCCCTTCCTTTTATATCCGTGTGGAAAAGGGTACTTTTTTAAAACAAAAAAATCCAACGTGGGGTCCTTATTCGGGGGGGGGGGGGGGGAAAAAGGGTAATTTTATGTGATTTTTTTTTCCGCCCTCTTCGCGGGGCGGCGGGGGCGGAGGTAAAATGGCGGCGGTGGTTCGGGGTTGGGGTAGAGAAAGGATGGAGGGATTACAGGGGGAAAGGCCGGGAGGGTGAGGGGAGTCTGGGGGTAAAAAGGGTGGTGGTGGTGGTGGTGGGGGGAGAGGGTGCGGTGGTTTGTTGCTGTGGGGCCCGGGGAGACGTTCCGGACTCCCGGGGGGGGGGGGGGGGGGGTGTGTCGTGTCCGTGCAGGACCCCCTCAACCCGAGGGCAGGAGGGGGTCTGGGGAGGGAAATATCAGCTCACTCTGTTTCTCCTCACTCCGTCCCTCCCATGAGCGGATATTTCTGAGAGGGGTTTTGTTTTTCGGACCGAGGGATGGGCCCCGCCGCCGCCGCCATTTTACACCGGCCCCGAACCTTCCCCCGTGTCTCTCAGAGAGAATGTCGTTCAATTTATTTTTCTGTTCCTTTCGCGGTTCATGCCGTCCTACTACTACACTCTCCTTTCTGTTTCTCTTCCCCCACCCCATAAGGCGGCCCGACTCCTGGCTCGTCATGCTGTTTCGCTCCTTTCTCTCTCTCTTTCTCTCCCCCCCCCCCCCCCCCCCCCCAAAAACTTTTTACCGGACACTGCACTCCCTGTCCTTGAAGCTTAGGACCAGCAAATTACCCTTCTTTCACCCGACCCCACGCTTTATTCTGCCCATGCCACGCCACGCCACGCTCTCTTCTGCCCACACCACACCCCACACCACACCTGACACTGCACTCCCTGTCCTTGAAGCTTCGGGCTGGCAAATTATTCCCGTTCGTTCCTTCTCCGTGCCCCACTTTCCACTCCTCTCTCCTCCCCCCCCCCCCCCGTTCTTCCTGCTGTTCCTCCTACTTCTCCCACACTCCTCCTCATCTTCAACTTCGCCCCCCTCTCTCATCTCTCTTGCTTTACAGGCACTCAGGGCAGATTACTAAGGGGAGGCATGGGGCGCCTTAAATGATGTGAATATGTCGTAGGGGGTAAAGGATATGTGAGTGTCGGTTTGAAGTGTGAGCAGGGCACAGTATACTTGAAGGTGAACCGAGGCAGATAATATGGGAAAAGACTGCGGCTAATGTAGAAGAGAAAACTGGAGAAATGTGTCCAAGACTGAAGATTTACAGGGTGCAGATCTTTGCAGTAAGAGAATGATGTGCTTCAGTTTGGCTAGTCTAGAAGCAGATGGGGTATTTTTCCTGAAGATTTTAGAGATACTCAAAATACTTAGATCTCCAAACTTCCTAATGGCAGACGAAGAACTAGAGATCCCCCATATAAATACTTGAAGTTCCACTGGAGCTAATGAAGTGATAATGGCACTGCATTATCAATCCATAATCCTAGATCGTTATTCTGGGGGGCATGGTTTTAATCTCAACGTGGCAGGTGGTGAAATTTGAATTGAATAAAAAATCTAAAACACAACTAATGGCAACGGTGTGACTATAGCCATTTGTAAAGAATTGTTAGACTCTGGACTGTAAAATGGTTGAGGCAGATTTGGTCTGAGCTATCAGGCACTTCCTGTGCAATTTACAGGACTATCAAGGAAATGTGGGGTAATGGGACTAGTTGAATTCCTCCTGTAGAGCCATCAATGACACAGCAGACCAAATGACCATGGTCTGCGTTTCATAATCATTCTGGCTCTATTCTGATAGTTACATAGTAGAAAGAGTTCCTTGAATCAAATGAGAGTTTTTTTCTTTTTTGAAAAAAAGGTATTTGTTTTTTAAGCTGAGAAATGTTGCTAACTCTCAACTTCTTGCAGACCCCTTTGCTGATGCAACTAAGGGTGACGACCGCCTCCCGGCAGGGACTGAAGAGTACATCCATATAAGAATTCAACAACGTAACGGCAGGAAGACACTGACCACTGTCCAAGGCATTGCAGATGATTATGATAAAAAGAAGCTTGTGAAAGCATTTAAAAAGGTCTCTAAATGTTTCATCACCTTCTTGTATTTTCTGGTGATACCAGAAATTAGTTGGTGTACCATGGAAGTCCTTGGTTTAACCATGAATTTAATGTTTGTTTAGGACAATTTTGGCTTGAAGACTTAATTATCTGTATTTTTAACCATTGAAGATTTGCTTGTCTTGAAACACCTTTGAGCACTTCCTTTACAAAAGATGGTGAAAATTATTTTTGGGACATTTGAGGATACTAAATTTTGGTATCCTCAACTTTAAGGGCCAAGGCGTGGGGCTCATTAACGTTGTCTTTGTTCACATTTCCAGATTGTTGACTGCATCTATTTTGTACCTGTATTTGGGGGGAAAAAGTGCATGTTCAGATGCTGACCTATATGAAGGAAGTGCTATGGTAGTAATCTGGCTGATAGTACTGCTCTTTTTTAATCAAAACAGAAGTAATGTGGTCCTATTCAACTCCTGTATGTTACTGTCCCTTTTTAGTGGAGACTTTTCTGTCCCAGTTAATTTTGGGAAGGAATAAATGTAAGTGTTTTTTTAATCTGGGATATTTTATACTGTTCTAAAGAAATTAGCAATTTAACATTGTTCCATTGGGTGTCAGTTTTCAAATTGCTAATACCAAGATATTTTTGAAGCTGCCCTTGTGACACACGTTGTAGCCCATGCCTATGTCTTGGAGCTTGAGCTATCTATTTAAATTGGACTGTCAAGGAAAGATTTTAATCCATGAGAGTTTTAACCAAATACATGTTTCTGTTTTGGTCCTCTGTCTGGGTTTGGGGAAATGTAATTGTTTCTATTGAGGTATTAAGTATTTTGCTACTTGATCACTTCAGGATGTAGGTGGAGCCTGTTCAAACTTGCCAACTGGAAATATTCTGTGCCACTGATCCACTACTTGTTTCTTTTCTTAGAAATTTGCTTGCAATGGTACTGTGATAGAACACCCTGAATACGGTGAAGTAATCCAACTTCAAGGTGACCAGAGGAAGAACATCTGCCAATTTCTTCTGGAGGTGAAGCAAACCTTGTTGAATTTATGTCCATAGAAAAGAGATTTGGCATTACACCCGAAAATGTTTGGTTATCTTTTAACCTGCTTTGCTACCAATTTGATTTTGAGATGGATTTGTGAGAGATTTCTGCTGAGTGGGGAGCCAGTTTGACATGTAATCACCAAAGAAGCCTCAAATACTTGGAGACCTGTAGTATGTCATGCTAAACCGGTTCACCATGACTCAAAGTAATTTCTTCTCAATGTGTAGGGAGCAACATGCAACTGGTTTCTTGTCTTACTTTAGCTGAGTGGTTGCTTCCATTATTGTTAGTAGCGATTCTATTCCTGAGTCCAAAACTTTGAATAATCAGTCCATTCTAACTTTTTATTTTATTCAAGTAACAGAATTTTCATTGACATAAGTCACTTTTCAGGAATTTGAGAGCATGTTTTAATGGTGTAAGCAGTTTTGTTATTTGAGAACATTCCTATTAGGAACATTCAGCCCACTGTGCTCACTCTGAAACAGTCTGAATAGGTGTTGTTGGGGTGGGAGGTGCCAGAGGGAGAGAGATGGGTGGTCATGTGCAATTGAAATGTGCTTCTGTAGGTGGGAAATTATCTAGAAGTCTGGTGTTGAGAATCAACTTTGGTAACTATGCTGTTGATTGAGAAATTGCATTGTCAGGGTTGGCCTGAAGTTTTGTCCTTTCTGCCAATTGAGTATGCCAGATATAAAGTAATGGCCCAGAATGCTCTGGCTGTTGGTGATAGAACATGTTTTTATGTCTTCACTGGGGTTCTAGGAAGCTTTTTTAAAAGTTCATCTTTTTATCCCTGCTGTTAGTTCCTGGGATCTCAACAAGGTAGCTGACTTGTGGTGTGTTGTTGACTCTTACTGTTGCTCATAATTTCGTATCATTATAGTCATATTTGTCAAACATTTTAAACAAAGCTCCAAATTGAGGTAGATCTTGGAACACTTGAATTATATTAACCTTTTGTTTCAACATTAGTAGTTTGCACACCAAGTGAAAAGCTTGTGTTGGTGTATCACCTCAATTGTAGGATCTTTGGGTTGGACTGCATCTAATCTGATTTGTTTTCCATTTTATTTCCCCTCAGGTTGGCATTGTGAAGGAGGAGCAGTTAAAGGTCCACGGCTTCTAGAGGATGTGTTTAACAGCTCCTGAAGTTTCCTGTTGTGTGGCTGGTTCTTTGTATATTTGTTAGCTTATATACACACTCATATTATGCAGGAATGAATAACTGCAGTGAATGGACTTCCCACGTGATTAGATCTCCAGAATTTAACTCCGATATGCATGACTACAGAAGAAGTGTGCTATTTAGGCTAGTAACTCATAAGAAAACTGCTATAAGATGGTAATAAAATGACAGACATATGTATATTTAGCACATTTCCAATGGAAATGTTTTAGTGCTAATTGTTCTACTTAAATTTTCCTGATTTTGAAGTTTTTTTTTGTTGTATTAAAACCATGTATGTTGTATAAGGCAATTAACAATAAACCAGCTATGTATTCTGAAGAATGCAGCTTGTTTTGGATTGATTGATCACTGCCCTGCATTGTATTTTGTTACTTACCCTCACTTCTAACTTCTAGGGCTCATAATGTTTTTGTAAATAAAAAACTTATGCAAATTCTCACTAATTACACTTGATGTGGCCACTGTCACCTACATTTCAGACTTGTGGCACATTTATTCCAGTTTTCCTTTCTGAAGTTGTTTCTATGATCAGGTCATCTCAACACTGTACACACCGATTGTGGCTTGTCTTACGTTAGAACCTAATAATGAAACCTTTTAACTCAATTTTGGAATGGCAATCCCATTATTTCAAATGCAGTTTATTTTCTACTTGCAGATTTTATCTCTGTGGAGACCTCAACTAACTGGACTTGATGGTTAATACATTTTGCTCAGGTAAAAATGGAATGCGAGAGAAATTAAGTTTGAAGTATTTACAGAGAAAGTTGATGTTTCAAGGCAGTATTGAAGAATAGTCATATCAGATTTCATTAGTTCTAAGATGTTGCCAGACTTGAGCTACCGCTCCATTTTCAGTCTTTCAGTTTAGGTTTCCATTATCCACAATATTTTACTTTCAAGCATATTAACTGAAGTGCAATTTGAAAATACATTTGGCAAAGACCCTATTTTGACTCCAACCTAAATTCAAAGCTACTGTGATGATATTGCCATTTCATATGGTCTTACTCCTATACTGTCAATTTGCAGTTAAAACAATCTGGTAGACATCTTTCTGTCAATGTATATTCTGTCTTCAAGACTATATACAAGGTAAACATTTATGTAGCTACTAGTTTGCTCAAATTTCAACTTCACAGCAAAACAAGCTGGTAACACTCCTGAGACTATTCAGCCCTCCAGTACTGAATGAGCAGACATATTTTAACTAGATTTAAGACAAACCTTTTGGTGTCTGTCTGAAGTCGTCCCTAGCCCCTAGTCTTTGACTCGTGACTGACTGAAAATAAGCCAGACTTCTTACATTTGACTCGGAGTTTGTAACCTGCTTTGCAATAGTGGAGCTGTAATTACCGGTTTCTACTTTCATATCATGATTTCTTCTGAAGCTCCCATTTGTTGCCTCTAAAATAATCCAAAATTCTGTCCATGGCCTGACCTGTGCCAAGCTCAGTTCACCTGTTATCTTAGGCAGGCCGTCAATTGAGATTGGAAGCAAGTTGATCTGGTTAATAGGTGGTGATTGGTGGGTTGCTTGGAGGTTTTTGCACTCCAATGCCTTGATTTTGACTCTCTTCCTGATTGAAGTTTTGACATGCTTGGTGCCTTCTGTGTTTTGCCCAGTCTTAAACCAGAGTCCCCTGAGAGTTGGATGTCTGAATTCTGAAAGAAATTGTGTTGCTGATCTGTGAATGTGCAGTTGCTTTTAGGATTTGGGTGTCAGGCAGCATGTCCTGTCCAGATGAATTGGCTTTGAGCAGTTAGAGCTGCTAGAAGAGAATATTTGCCGCCTTTGCTGTGAGATTTGAAAGATCTTGCAAAATTATTGGTCATTCAGGTTCAAGTACCCAAAACACAAAGGTGTATTGGCCCATCACCCCTTTCTTCAATATCCTATTGCCTACCTAGGAGCCAGTGTCTCAATTTTAAAACTATCATCTTTCAGATCCCTTTCCTTATTTATTTACCTGTTCATCCTATCTTTGTAACTTCCTACAGCTCTCTGAAATATCAATGCTCCTCCAATACTCCCCTTTCAAACTTTAGTTCTGATCACAATTAATGACTGATTGCAACTGGAAAGGCCTTTAGCTCTACAGTTCTCTTTGCATCTTCAAAATGCTCATTAAACTCTTACCTCTGACCAAGCTCTTGGCCATCTGCCTATTTACATAGGCAAATCTAGTTTTATAACATTGCTCTGAAGCACCTTGGGGTATTTTATGTTAATAGGGCTGTACAAATATAAGTTGTAATCTAATGTGTGACAAATAATGTAGCATTGAAACCTTTTGAGATTAAGTTAAAACTTGTAACCTGAGTTACAAGCCAGCTAATTATTCCTATAATGGTGACTAATGGACCCACCATGCAGTAAGCTGTCTCCATTTCCCAGTTAAATAGATTCTTGGACTCCAATGCTTTTGAGAATATTTGTCTATATATTTGCATTTTATATTGTATATTTGAGGTTGTAGGAGTGCACTGTCTGTCTAAATTCTCTCTCATTCCACCAGTCTGCTGGTTACAACATATATTTAATGGTTTTACACTGTCTCATATGGCTAATTATATGTTTATCTGTATTAGGTTCAGAATGAAAAGATCCCCTAACAAGTTTTATTTAATAAACAAAATTATTAATTTAGTATAGCATTCTTATAAATATACAAAGCTAACAGTTTGAAACATGAAAATATAATTTTACCCTTCTAAATAACCTGAATAGACAGACACTAGTTTTAAAAAGAAAACTTTATCTGCAGAAGTCAACTTTGGGGGGGAAAAGAAGACACTAGCCAAAACAGTTCCTTATTTTTGGAGCGTAAAAGGGAAGATACTGAATGTTCTACACTGTCAGTCTGACATTCTTGTAGGATGTACATGAGTCATTGGACTCATTAGTTCATTCACGATGTGGAGTGGAGGACTGTTCCTTCTTTTTAACTCTCTCGGGATCCTCAACTGAGATGCCAGCAGCAAACTCAAATGTGGGACTTCTACCCAGATTATTTTCAAGTGTCTTTCATGTCCCTTGCGTGACTTCTTTTATAAAAAAGTCCAGCTATCTCCTCAACATCTCAAATGGATAAATTTTCACAAATTTACATCAGACATGATTCCTCAAAAATCAAACAATTGTGGAAGCCTACATAATAAAGTATAAGGTGTTGTATTCAGGCCAAAGGCTTTTGCATAAGTAGGCAAATTGACATTCATTGTACACAAATCAGTTCAGCCAGCTTCTTTTTCCCTAGTTATCCCTGACAGCTATGTACGAGCTTGTCAAAAGAGCTGGTGATAGCATCGTGCAAGGATCATGACGTTTTTCAATTTTCCTATCTAAATTTAGAAAATGATATAATTCCTATCTCTGCTCTAGATCTATTCAAACATTATGACCCATGATTTAAACTAAGGATGTTTGTAAACTGTGGATGAGCAATATAGAGTGGAGGATTTGATTTGATTTATTCTAGTCACATGTACGTAAGTACAGTGAAAAGCTTTGTTTTGCAAGCAGTACAGGCAGATCATACCAAACAAGGACATACAGATCATAGGGTGCTTAGACATGGTGAGGCATACAGGTTACCACTGCACAGGAGGTGCGCAAAGCAAAATCAACATTATTTGAAGTTAGGGAGTGCGTTCACCTGTCTAATAATGACAGGGAAGAAGCTGTTCTTGAACCTGTTGGTGTGTGTGTTTAAGCTTCTGTATGTGTAGCTCTTTAAGCCTTGGGAAGGTGCATGTTATTACACTTCTAATCAATTTTGCTAGCAGCAATGAGAGTGGAGTGCTTCCAGTGGTTGATTTTTCCAGAGTTACGAGGAAGACAAGATGTTTTTGATGGGCAGAGGTTGGGAGTGAGAAGGGACATCACTGCCTCGTTGGGATCCCGTTACAAGATTTTATCAACCCTCAATGTCATGCTTTGTCAGGTGACCCAAGCGTATTGAAGAATGAGAGGTGATTTGACTTAGATGAAGATGATTCATTCATTGAGCTTTTCGGTGAGAAAGGTGGGGACAAACTATTTAATTGGGTCGGGGAATGAGCATAAGAAGGTATATATCTTAGAACAGGAACTGGTCCATTTGGACGTGAAATCAGAAAGAATAGTTTTGGATAAAGAGAAAGAAATCAGAAATTCTGTCCCACAAAAGCAGTGCATATTAAGCATTGAAGCATTTAGGATGGAGCTCAGTATTTTTCCTGGGTAAGGCTATTTGAGGGATTTGGAACAATCTGTCATCTAAGCTGTGCAACAATCAGGAATGTGCTATGCAGAGACCAAACAGAGGGATTGATCGGAAATCCCATATCTCCTGCATTTTTTAAAGTTTCTTTTTGATTAGATGTTTAATTGCAAGTGTTTATTGCACAAAATCAGGTTTCTTTTATTCCTTAATTCACATATCTATTTTTATTGATTATTTGGGGAAATTTTGTGGTTATTAGGGAAGCTATTGGACACACTATCCTGCAAAATATCTCAATTGATCGAGTACACAAACACGTATGATTTATAGGTTAGGACTCACAACCTTTCTAGAGTGGTAACAAAAGATGGAAGTACTGCTTTAATTGGGGCCTAAGCAGAAATTCGTAAAGAATTATGGAATCCATACAGTGCAAATAGAGCCATTTGGCCCATCGAGTCTGCACCGACTCTCTTAAGAGCATCCCACCCTATCCTTGTAACCCCACATTAACCATGGATAATCCACCGAGTATGCACAACCCTAGACACAACATGGCAATTTAGCATAGCCAGTCCACCCAACCTGCACATCTTTGACTGTCACCCAAAGCTGATAAAGGTTCAACATAATTTCCCTACTTTTGCACTCAATGCACCTCTTTAAGAAGACCAACATCTCCTATGTTTTGTGAATGACTTTCTTTCTTCAAAGACATGCTCACACGGAATCCCAGGTCTCTTCATTCCTGTATACTCTTTAGAATTGACCCACTTTTGTGCTTATGGGATTTTGGTATGTAAAATTTGGCTGTCGTGGTTCCTACATTCCAACAATGACTATAATTGTTGCAAAAGTGTTTCATTGGTTGTGAAGTATCCAGTGGTCATGAAAGGCACTAAGTAAATGTCAGAGATAGTAGGAACTGCCGATGCTGGAGTCTGAAATAACAAGGTGTGGAGCTGGATGAGCACAGCAGGCCAGGCAGCATCAGAGGAGCCGGAAAGCTGGTGTTTCGGGTCTGGACCCTTCTTCAGAAAAGTAAATGTAATTCCCCGTGCACCTTGCCTTCTTCCTCTTGTTGATTGCACTGTTTCCGAACTTGTTCAT